TTGACCAGGTGGTATAAGTGGTCGAACCTCAGCAAGTCCGCAAGCATTCTTAAACTTTCCTGTTCCACAAGTCACTGAAATATGTGACATGGTGCTTCCACTCTTGTAGACTCCTTAGAAGTTGAGGTTGTCGTTGTATTCGCCACCTTCAATCATGGCTGTAAATGCCATGATTTGGGTTTGTTCCATCTGCAGAGCTGGCCATATAAACTCCTTGAGCTTTCCCTATTGCCTGTGACCCCAAATCAGGACTGGCATTGAGTATGTTATCGATGACAGTGATTGTTCCAAAGCCTAACCCCAAACAATCTGGTCCTAGAGGGATCTGAGGGTTACCATTTTGTTTTTGATTGCCGGCGAAAGCTGTACTAGCTAAGCCAGTTCCTAAAGGGAGACCATTGATGCTATTGACAGTAGGAATAGCAACATTGGCATTGGGGATTGCAACTCTACCTTGCGGGAGAGAGGAATCCCACTGGTTTAGCAAAAGGTACCTGACCACTTTAGATATTTCCTGGTAATCCAGTCATTGGCCTAGCTGTGAAACTACTTCCTCCAAGGATATCATGCATGTAGAACTCAAGGATGGGCTCTTCTGCTGCAGCTGCTTCTGGGTTAACTGCTGCCAAACATCTTACCATGTAGACAGCAGCAATCAGCACTTTAATGAAAACTGGGGGTAGTTGCTTGGACATTTTGTAATGTTTGCCTGAGGTTCTTTGGTTTTCTAATGAGTTGCTGCACTGAAGCTTTTTGCGTTTAGTATGCCAGTCATTATGAAGCTTCCTCTTTAAACGGAGACTTAGAGAGGATAGCATCAGGCTATGGAGTTGTTGGAAGGATTTGTGGTGGTGAGTTGTCTGTGTTACATTAGTTATGGGGAGATAGTCATTCTATTTTTCTGTTCTTGGTGTATTGGTTAACATTTTTTTTTTCATTAGTTTTAGTTGCAAATCTTTTATTAAGTAGTATTTCCGTTAAGCATCAGTAATTAAAAGAATTTATAAACTTATGGGCTCTTTCTTGGCATGTTTCATTTTTTTCCTTAATTTTTTCTTTTACAATTTTTGTAACGAGTGCCAATCATGTGGATTGTTCAATCTTGAAGCTGTGCTTAATAATTTGTGATCATGTTTTCCCGAGGCACCTTGACTAGTTCCAACCTAATAGCAATTCCTACACTTTCACAGTCAACTGAGGAAGCAAAAGCTATCCAATTCACTAAATTTTGATGAAGAATCATGATAACAGGTTGTCCGAAATCCAACTGCATATAATTTAATAGCGAGTTGCAGGTTTTTAGCCAGAATCATTTTTTAAAAGTGTGGAGTGGTTGGCTCTAGCTGAACTAGTATAGAACAGAATTGTTCACCACATCACTAAGAAGAAAAAATTTTCTGTGTCGTTGATAGGTATAGAGGATGCTTTAAGATTTGTGCTTAAGTGTAGAGGATACTTTTAGTAGTGCACTGACAAACCCGACATGGTACGCCCGATCTTGGATATGCCATAGAAGTTGACTATTTCCATATTCCCTCCTTCAATCACTTGCTGTAAATGCCATCATTTGTCTAGTTCCATCTGCTGATCTCGCTACATGTACTCCTTGAGCTTTGCCAAAGCCTGTGATCCCAACTCAGGACTAGAGGTCAATATATCATCAATAACAGTTATTGTTCCAAATCCTAGTCCTAAGCCTTAAGGTCCTTACAGCTGAGGATTTTCGTTTTGTTTATTTAGTTTTCCAGCAAAAGTTGTATCGCCCAGGCAGATCCTAATGGAAAACCGTTTATGCCATTGACAGTGGGAAGGGCACCATTGGCATTGAGTATAGCTACCTCGCTGCTGGGGGAAGGAATCCTAATTGCTTAGCAAATGGTACTTGACCAGTATACATATTCCTAGCAAGCCAGTAACAGGCCTTGTTGTTGGTCTGCTTCCGCCAACAATGTCATGCATATATAATGCAAGAATCGGTTCTTTCGCAGTTGCTGTTGCAGGGCCAACTGCAGCCATGATTATTGCTGCTTGCATAAGAGAAATCAGCATTGTGAAGGAAACATAGGCCAGTAAACCATTGAAAATCTTGAAAACCAAGAATGAAGATCTCAAATGAGTCTGCTAATAGAACGCAGACTTGGATCCTAATATACAAATATTAGATTGGGTGGTGTTATGATTATAAATTGGTGGTGAAGCTGTTGAGTTATACTCATTATGAAAATGCAAACCATTCTACGGTTCTACAGTAACCATTGCTCTTCTGCGTTAATTCCTTTATTTTCAACTACAAATGATATGCAGTGAGCGGGTAGGATGCAAGTACTTGATGGTTTCAGCATAGCCGTGCAATCTCCAAATTCCCATTTGGAAAATTGTTAAATAATTATGGTTACAGCTAAATTGACATCTAGTGATAAACAATGAAGAGGTCCACTGGTTATGAACATTGACCAAGGATAATAGAGAGCAATTTTATCATCCCTTTTCAGTAGGTGATAAGGCTAGTGCGTTATTAATCAATTCAAAGCACTCATTATTGATATAATCATGGTAGATTTCTGAATTCTTGCTTGTATTTTACATAGATTGAAGCTCAAATTGGACAAATACAAGAAGCCCATTGGGAAAAGAATGAATAAATAAACAATGGAGATGTTATACAACCTTAATTACCGTTTTTATATTTTAAGACCGTGGCCTCTTTTGTACCCGAAAAAAAAAATGGGGTAAGGAGGGGAACAAGAGAGCATGCGGAGAAAGATTTAAATGAAGTTTTTCACATTAAGTTTATAAAGTTCTTAATTAAAAATGATTAAATAAAAATTAAAATTAAAAATTAAAATCGATAAATTGAAATTATCTTATTATATAGATTAAGTGTGCAAAAATTTAAAAATTTTACTAAATTTATATATATTTAAGTAGATATTTTAAATAAAAATATTAATATAATTTTTACTATCGAATAAATATTAATCAAATTTAAATTATAAACAATATTTTTAATATTTTTTTACATATTACTCCCTCCATTCTATTTTGTATGTTCCCTATTGACTTTTTTGATCAAACCAATTCAACTTTTACCATCATTTTTATCAAAATTATAAAATTATAAAATTTTAAAAAATAAGATTTGTAAAGTTTGAGTTTCAAAATTTTCAAAAATATTTATAAAAATTTTTAATTTAATATAATATTTTAAAAAATAATAGTCAAAGTTGAATTCATCTAATCAAAAAAGTCAAAAGAAGCATATGAAATCATATTAAATTCTATTAATTTATCGATTTAAAATTTTTATTAAAATTTTTATTAAATCATTTCTAATAAAAAATTTCACAAATTTTACTTAAAAACCTTGGTCTAAGTTTTCTCCAGTATGTTAATGCAGCTACGTCTTTGTTTATCCTTCATGCTGATATATAGTTGGTGGCATCAACCCACTTCCAGATGACTCTATAATCACATAACTTCTTTCAGATAATTTCCATAAACTAAAAGCAACTAGGGAAGTAAAACTTACCTCGTATGATAAGGGAATTTTAGTTACAGAAAAGCAGTAGTGATCTGAAGGGAAATGCATAATATGAATTCGCTTACCGTATAACGTGACTATAAACCAATCGTTGATGATTTTTACCTATGAACTTGCCCAGCAAACACCAATGCTCCATCTGATTGTTTTAAAGTGAGTATATGCATACACATACACTAGAAAAGTAGTCAGAAAAATTATACAAGTAATATGTTAGTCACTTGCCCGCTGAGTTTTCCAGGTTCCTACCGACCGATGAATAACATTGCTGAGTGTATGGCCCCAAGGAGAATATCATGTGGAAAAATCCATAGTTATCATCCTCTAGTTGCACCTCATCTTTGCGAAATTGGAAAAGTACAAGAGCAGCTAAATGTTCTTATCAAAACACAAGTACCAAAAATATTGCTTAAACTTTAGCACTATTTGGCTGCCTGCCTTTGGAAAATCATCTCAACAAATAAACACTGAATAGATGTGCGGCAATTATCAGTAGATACTCTTTGAATCCATCGAAATTGGAAACACCAATGTTCACAAATTTTAACAGAAGGTTGCAAGAATAGTTTCTTTTTCCTTTTTTACTGCTTGAGAACTCTGGCTCTACTGATAATGCTTAGAACTCCGCCTGAACTGGACAAAGGAGTAATTTTACCTCAAATGATTTAATTTGAATCAAACCATTTCATGTCCTTGGAAATGTCTACAAATTAGATTGGATCAAGGATTGGTTGATATCTTGTATAAAATCAAGCCCAATCCGGCTTGAACCCTAACATGAAAATGCATTAATATAATATTTAAATATGTAATACTAATTTATTTCATGATTAATTTCAAATAATAATACATAAAAATATAATAAATAGTTTTTCAAATATTACATTTATTAATAAATTTATAATTATAATATCATATTAAAAATTTTTAAATTTAAAAGTAAATGAAATATTTTATTATAATTAAACAATTGTTCAGAACATTAACTTTTTTATAAATAATATAATTTTTAATTTTTTTATATATTTTGTAGTTAATATTTAAAAAAATTATATATTAATATATAATATTTTCAAAAAATTAAAATTTAAAATTCATATTCAGAATCTATCTCAAATTAAATCAGACCTAAATGATAACTCAATATATAAATAATTAAATATAAATTATCATATTTATTTACCTTTTCGTTTCGCCACGTCTAATCTATTTTCATGTTAAAGACAAATTTTTGTGTATATGTGAGAGTTTATAACTTTATATGGATTAAGCTTGAATGATACAAAGAAAGTGGTAACTCTTTCTCCTACCATAAAATTTCATCTTTTACTTTCCAAAATAAAAAATTTCCTCACTTGAACGTAAATCTCAAAATTGCTACCATCCCAAAAAAAAAAAAAAAAATCCGTTTTGAAGATCGTCCAATAAATTTTAGAAAAAAAAAAAAAAAAAACCTACTATTTTAATTTTACATTATTCCTTAAAAAAAAAAAAGATAAAAATCATCTTCGTAATTTTTTGAAGACTGAAAGGCTAAATATGTCATATGGTGGATGAATTAACCCAATGTCAGCTTTTTAGGGCTTCAAGTTCGTTACAGCAGTGGCGGGAAGATATCAGGGAAATTTCCCATCGAAATTCAACTGCGAAACTCTAAAACCCTAAATTCCTAAAATGTCCTTCATCGATGAATTTCAAGCCGGTAACTTCTCCCTTGTCAAACTCTCTTGTTTTCTTTTTCTAAATTAATTTCTTTGGCCTTTTGTTTCTACCCCTTAATTCGAAAATCGAAACGAAAAAAGAACCCTAATTGAAGATTCTATGATAATGACATGCTAATTAATTTTCATTTTGAAATTGAATTTTATTGAAATTTTACAGATTTGGAAGCACTGCCCAATATTCTTCAGAAAAAATATGCATTGATGCGTGATCTTGACAAAAGTTTCCAAGGTATTCGTTTTAAACTTAATGTTTAATTGTTTGGGATTCATTTGAAATTTATAATTTTAATTGGCTAACTATTATAGATGTTAAATTCAAAACCAATTAATGCAATGAAGTGAAATCCCATTTCATTCGGTTGGATATACTATCTTGCTGTTGATTAATATGAACAGAAATTGTGAGGCAAAATGAACAACGTTGTGAACAAGAAATAGAGGATATAAAACGAGGCGTGAGGGCCGGAAACATTACACCAGATACTTCACTTATTAGATTCTCCGATGACGCACTTGACGAACAAAAGCATAGCATTAGGATTGCGGATGAAAAGGTTGCCTTGGCAATTCAGGCATATGATTTGGTGCGTGAGTTTTTTCCTCACAACTTTCATGTTTGGTCCCTGCATTTATTTATCTGATTCATATTCAATAGCTATGATTGAGAAATCTCATTGCCTTTTGATTCTTGGGTGGAGTTTTTGCTATTCTAGGGCAGTGTTTTAATGTAGAAAAGTATAAATAGAAAATGCTGTTAGATTCTTATAGTATTGGCTACCTTGGTAGAGAGAGGTGGGGTTTCTACTGTTTTTTAAAAAGTCTCCGGGGTGTGGTGTTTCCTCTATGGACCTACTCTGTTACATGGACCAGTGATCTAAGAGTTACAAAAACAAAGTCATATCAATAACATGGTGGATGGTTCTTTTTTCATGAAGAAAATATTTTTATCATTTCTTTGCGGAAAATTTTTGGGAAAGCAAAGTTGATTGGTCTTGTTTTTAATATGATTGCTAATTTGAAATTAGCTTTAAGTTGACCTTGTTTGTTTGGAATCCCCCATTTGTAACGTAATAAAGCATATTAAGAATTCGGTGCTGGATGGAACTTGGTTTGCGTCCTTAATTGTTGTTCCTATTCATGATCTAATCATGTTTCAGGTTGATTCACATATACAGCAACTTGATCAATATTTGAAAAAGTCTGATGAAGAGCTACGGCGTGGTATGTTGCTGATTTTCCACTGCCACCACTGTTTAATGTATCCGTTGCTTGCCTCTAAGCCTGTCCACCTGTGTTTCATTTTTAATCCATACTCTAATATGTTTTTTTGACAGAAAGAGAAAATGCTGCTGCTACTGAATCGCCCACTCCAAGTCCTGATGGTACCTCTAAATCTGGAAGGTCTAGTGAAAGTGGAAGAGGAGGGCGTAAAAAGTATGCTCCTATTATACGTAAGCTCATTATGATTTCCTTGTAGATTGTTCAATGGTCATCCAGTTTTTTATTCCTGCTTCAGAGGAAGCTCCTTTTTTGTAATTCTATTAATCAAATTTTACTGGTTTTTACTAAAACTAATTATAACAATATAAACAGATTCTAGTATCAAGTATCAAGAGGAATGGGCTGTCTTTTTCTTTTCTTTTCTTTCCTTTTCTTTTTTAAAAAGAAAATGACAAAAGTAGCAGAATTTTGAGTTTGGAAATAATCATACTGAGAAAAGAATATCAAATTCCTTCAACTCCATCTACATGCAACAAATGTTTTACTAATTAGATGCATGATATCATTGGAACCACATATTTTTGTAGAACACGTCTGGCAACAGCAGCAGCAGCAGCCGCTGCGGCTACAGAAGTGGCAGCAGTGGCTGCAAATCCAACTGGTATGGAATTAGACTTGCCAGTGGATCCTAATGAGCCCACTTACTGTTTGTGCAACCAAGTTAGCTATGGAGAGATGGTGGCATGTGATAACCCTGATGTATGTAACTAAGTTTCTTGTACATTTATCTCTGAAACTATTTTTGTTTGCACTCCCTGTTTTTGATCTGATGAAACTCCTCTGCTCCTTTTAACAGTGCAAGATAGAATGGTTCCACTTTGGGTGCGTTGGTTTGAAGGAACAGCCGAAAGGGAAATGGTATTGTTCAGATTGTGCAGCACTGAAAAATCGTCGCAAAGGCAGATCAATGTAAATTTTTTTTCTGGGAAGCTGTGCTAATGCATTTGGATAGCCTTAATGCAAAAGCTAACGTTTTATGACCACATAATCATGCTGTTTTTGTTTGCATCTCTTTCTTGTTGTTAGGAACTTGTGTTTAACTATTTTAGTTTTGTTATATAGCTATTTGGATGCATGTACCATTTTGTTTAAAATTTTTTTTCCCCCAGCCTGTAAATAAATTCCTCTAACTGTTTAGAGTGTTGATTCACATTGAAGCTTTGAAAGTGCAAAATGCTTGTTATTTTTGCCGTTGCCCAATTAAAGTTGTTAACAAACATTGTTGTGTTTAGATAAGTTTTAAACACAAACCATCTCTCTTTGGTTTCATGCTTCAGATAAACAACGTTGGGTGTTCAAGTATTAAGTTACAAATTAAGACTTAGGTTTAGAGCCCCCCATTGATAAGTATAGACACTACCCTTCAAAATGGAACCGGTAACTTAATATGAATTACAAGAGTTCTGCTGAACCCAGCCTGTTAATTCTCTCCTTTTAAGTTTATGGCTTTCAGCTTTAACAGTGCTATCAACTTGCGCTTCATTAAGGTTAAGGTTCTATTTGAACTGACAATAAGATTGAAAACAACGATGATAATGAAATTAATTATTGTAATGATGAGATTAAATGTTATAATAATAAGATTAAAATCACAATCAGATATTTATTTGAATACAAATGCAGTGATGCTCATAAAGTGAAATGTAGTAAGAAAAAAATTATTAAAAAAAATTATATTAAAATTTCTATATAATGAAATTTATAGTAAATATTTTATATTATTAAATTAATAAATAATTAAATATTATTTATATTATTATCAAATAATGCGTTTTTAAATAAATATTTGTATGTTAAACTATGTGAAGTCTAATTATTATCTTAATGTTGATTGTGGGAACAAATATATGAATTAAATACTCTAACCAACAAATGATTAGTTTAATTAGTTAAGACTCATCTTTTTTGACGAAAAAATCTTGAGATCAAGTTTTATTGATAGTCGTTTGTTGAAATCATCTCAAATGCGTAACTTGCAATCACCTATCTTAAACTGTCAAATACGACATATCATACTCTGATTTGAAAAATTGAGTAATCTATCTCTCATATTTTTTCTTACCAAAAAAAATGTTTTAACTTTATTTTTAATCGTGCACTTCACTTCTCAAAAAAGTAATCCGACTGTTTGATGAAGGACAATCGACTAGTCTTTACAGTAAAATAAGATCAGTTGTCCGCCAGAGATTCCTCCAATGAATCAAAGGAGGTGCAGGATGACATCCAAAAATGTGTCACAGCATGATTGGTACCAAAAAGTGTCCCAACCCCTCCATACCGTCAATCCCTTTGAATCCAAATGGAGCTTAAATAAGCAAGCTATAGTGGAACAACTGCAGTCAGATTTTACAGGGGTTTAATCCTTCAAGGATTAGTAAACTACAATGACATGGATCCCACTAATGAAACGAGGAATAACAGGGTCAACCACTACAAAGTTTGATGATAATCAGCCACTTGGAGGATATGCTTGGTCGTGGTTCAAGCACAACTGAATTCCTTGAAGCTGAGGCATGCAGGCTGAAGTCAACTATTTGACACCCTAGTTAGTTTTCCAAAGGCAACTAAGGCTGCAAGCTCCTTATCAACTTGCATTTTGCGCTGTTAAATTCTCTATTTCATCCAGAATGTCGAGTCGTTTATGCTTTGCTTAAAATTAACCTGCTTTGCTATCGCATGCTAACAAATAAAAGGAAAAGAGAAACTGAAAAATGTTGCAACAACTAGGGACTAGTTGCTGCAGTTCTCCTGTTAACTTCTGCATCAACTTGGCTTTGTCATTTCTGTGGAAGCTCATTTTATTTTGATCTTTTGACAGTCTTTCCCCAACTAGAGTTGAGAGCATTCCGAATAATTCTAACACCGATCTTCTAGTCAAACTTGGCAGTAGGCAGCTTGTTCAACTCTTTCGATCAAACAGAAAAGCAACTCCACCTAGAAAAGGGGAACTCCTATGTACCACCTGTTAAGCTTCAGCCTTCAAGTTAAAACTCCCTCAGATTGGGAAAGAAGAAAATTTAATAGATGACAAGTATAACCAATCAATCAAACCTTAAATTAGAGAAAAAAAAAAAAGAAAGCATCCAAACTTTACAGAATGATAATCAGCCACTCTTTGACAAACTTCAGTAAGGATGGCTGCATAAGTAGACACATTAAACCATTTTCACTGCTGAGCTCCACATGATTTTCAGAAGAGCACATCATATAGACATGATTTCTTGGGCCAAACAAATTAATACATGCAGAAAGCACGTATATAATCATAACCGAAAATCGAAAGACTCGACAACAATAAAAGCTTCTAAAACAGAGTTATAGACTTAAAATACCTACCAGCCTCATGAAAGGAAGGGAGCATGCCTTACCAGTTACCATCAGCAGCTAAATCATAGGTAGCATTAGCAACATGTTTCATGAGGCCAGCACCATTATTCTTGTTGTACCATAGCTTTGTTCAATAACCACATTCCATCTCTTTTCACCCATTAAGAGAAAAAGAAAAACAAAATGCAGAAAACACACAAACACACTCATAAACATTGACAAAGTTTCATCACACTGCAAATACAGGGCATTTCTTCCTTCCCTATATTTTCCTAACCAGAAAATTTTTTATGCAAAACAACTAAATTCCTTGATACATTCCCAAGTGATCACAACTTGCATGCTGCCATGTGCAACTACTAGCAAAATCAAGCCAACGCACCTACCATAAACAAAATAAATCAGGAATCTTATTTGACTTGATAGTTTCTGGCTGCAATCGACTTTTTACAAAAAGCCAGACCTTCCAAGGAAAATTTCAAGTCAGTATTCCTTCTGTACTTTCTGTAGATATACTAACTGTGGTCTATAGCCTCTGTAAAACAAAATCCACCCAATCATCCAAATTTGAACAAGAAATTTTAAGTTTGCAAACAAAGCAAAACTTATTGACTTCTTGTTCTTTTCATGCCAGCAAACATAATGGGTAAGGATTGTTCATCCTCACGCACTAATTTGAATCAATCATGTGAACAAATCCAGCCACGAGTTCTCCACCAATCTAATGAATTGATCACTTGTGCACCTAAAATCCAAGGCTATGTAAAAAATCTTACCAGCATTCTCAGATGAAGAATTACAGCATGAAGAAAACAATTTAAGTTACAAGAAAAAGCAATTTTTTGGATTGCACCCAAAAGATTCTTCCATGGTACAGTTTAATGCTTTATGCCTATTTGATACATTCATGAAAACAGACAGTGAACCTTAATTGAGTTACAGCCTTGGAGGCTACAGTTCACCCATGGAACTCTCCGAGTAAGTTAGCTCAAAATAATCAAACATCAGAGCATTACAACCCAAATACAGAAATCAACCAAAACCCTCATTCTTGCAATCCACATTTTGACCAAAACCAAAAACCAAATGATTCAAGAATTGGACAAAAACCAATTAAACACTATTCCCTCTTTTCTAGTATTTGGAAATCATCATCCAACCAACCAACCAATCAAAACACACTAAAGTCAAAATTTCCCTAATGGATTTTCAACTTCATAAAAAACAAAAGCAAAAATAGTAAATTTCACTAACCAAATCTAGCCCCACTACAACCAAACTCCTAATTCACTTCTAAAGTAACTTAACTAACTTAAAAAAAAAAAAAAGGAAAAAAATGGCAGTGCTCAGCTCACCAGAACACTACCCTTTATCCATAGGCTTCATTGCAGAAAATCCCAAATGTTTCTGCCTCCTCATCTCCAATATCTTCCTGTGGGAATTCGAGTGCAACTCATTCGAAAATGTAGGGCTATTTGCTGGACGATACTCAGGCACCAAGCGCCCGGACTTGTACCTCACTCCACAAGCATTGCAAAGCGTTTTAGGTCCAAGTGGCCCTGCTCTCCATTGCGGTGTCCTTTCCGCCCCACAATGCTGGCATTTCCTTCCTAAAGTCCTCGAACCAGGCCCTTTTGCGGTGACATTCGCATTCTTCACATTTTCCTGTACCCACCAGCTGTTTTCCTGGTTCCTTAGGTCCCGACATTTACGAAGACGCTTGGACCGGGCTTTTACCGGCACTTTGACGTTGACACAACAATACCTTACAATGTTTCCGTTGGTGAAGGTTGTGCTACCGGAACTGTTGCTGCTGTTGTTGCTGTTATCCAGTACTGACACCGGGCTCTGCTGCTTCGTTGCGGTCCCCAAAATATCGACAAATGATGTTTCCACAGCTGGAAATGCATCCTTGTTTGATAACCATTCTAGTTCTTCCTCCGCAAATTCCTGCAAATCGTAACAAACAAAATTTTTTTAACTCAGCTGGTTAACTCAGTGGATTCAAACGAGTTACAATTGTTTAACATGTGGTTCCTTCTTTTTTTATTATGGGCGCTTGGGATGGGGGGAAAAGAGAAAGATAGGTCATGTAGGATTCACGTGCGACAAGCAAAAGAAATGTTTTAAGTTGTACAAATTTGACTTGTCATAGTGGGTGGAATTATAAAAAAATAATGGAGTGCTCATACCAATTTTTATATATTTTTGCCAGACATCTATTAGTACAGCTCTCAGCCAGGTCAACAACAGCTCATATCAATAATAACATTACCCCCTTGGAAATTATAATACGAAAACTACCCCCAATATGATGTCCATATTACGAGGTCTTATTCAATGATGAGAATGAATATGATGGGTAAATTTGTCCTGTTAAAATATTGGGTTCCGCTAAGAGATCCGTTTCGGAAAAAGAATATTACAAAAAATCATGTCACAGAATGCCTGTTCAAATTCAATGCCGTCCGCTTTACCAGACCGGGTCATTTTCAGTCCTCACTCGGAACAATAGCCCGAGTTCAACTCAAGCCAAACCCTATCCTAACCGAGTCGGACCGAGTCAGCTCTTCTTCTTAGTTTCCCCAGCCTCCAGTACATGTACCAAACAGCAAAGGCTAGGCCGAGTTTGGCCGAGTTAAAACCAAACTCAGCCTCCTTCAGCCCCCTCCAAAAAACCTAAAAAATTTTAGTATTAAAAAGAAAAGGCATAAAAATCCATGAAAGAAAAAACTTACAGGAAATGAACAATTATGGTTAAGAGCACAAGAACAGGAAGAGTTATGGTTTGACAACTTCTTGCTGTTATCTTCATGTTCATCTTCCTCTCCGACGTCGGAGCCAAAGTCTAGTAACTTGTCATCAAGACATGCCACCATGTCAAAAGCTTCCATTTCTGAAAAATACACAACCTTCGTTTTTTTTTTTTTTTTTATGCGTTTTTCGGACAACGAAAAAAAAAATAAACAAGTAGAAGAAATAGTGTTCGTTCTTTGGGTTTAGTGGAAAACGAGGGGATGTCGATTTTTTAGGGTTGTTTTATTTTTATTTTCTTCTTTTTCCAGTTTTTTTTCTCTTTATAATTTTTCATTTTTCATAACGTATGATAATAATAATAAATAATATATTATTATTATTAACAATAATGTTGGTGAGTAATGTTGTCTGTAAATCTAGTCCACAACTTTTTTTAACCTTTTCTGGAAATCAGGACCGTCGATATATTTGGATTTCTGAAAGTGGGGCCCGGTTAACGGTAATCAGGGAGTGGATAGGGGGAAGTTCAGTATGATTATGGCAAACGTGATCGAATATAGATATTTTGTAGCAGTTTTTGAGTTAATTATTTCACGTGAACTTTCAATTATTGGTTTATAAGGGGTACGGATGTAAATATAGAGAAAGTTTGAGGTATTTTTGTGCCTCTAATTGCCATGTCTGTTGGAGGGTTAAAGCAAAGTATCGGAAAAGGGAATGAGGCGGGCCGCACACGCAAGGCCCTTCCCCAACTGGGGACGACTTTAGTGATGCTTGATGGCTAATAAGCTCCGAAAACCACGTCATTGAACCAATGGGACTAAGACACGTGGTTATGTGGAGAGTTTTCGAAATAATATTTTTAAAATCTTTGACTTAACCCCGACACCGCACGTGGCGGCGAAGATCTTGTGAAATGCAGTGCACAAAAATAAAGTTTCTTTTTTTTTTAGGCTTACTGAGAGCCCATTTTGCATGTGAGGGAATGGGGTCCACCACTGACCTTCACCACTTTGCGTTGGGCGTAGCGACTTTGTTTCCATAATTAATGACTTGGGAGGCACGTGTTGTGTTGTTTTGGGCTGAGTCCATAATTTAAAAAATTGAGTCTAAATTCAATCCAGTCTTATAGTTTATATTAAGAGCGAAAAAAAATAAAAATCGTTTTAAAATTATATTATTTGGATTGGTTTTTTTATTTAATTTGGTTTAAATTCGAATATTATATGTTTTAAATTGGTTTAATTCGATTTTTTAATGAAAAATGATAAAAATAAAAAAAATTAAAATCGACTTAAATTATATATTTTTATGAATTTATATATTTTTTATAAATTATTAAAAAATAAAAATAATTATTTTATAACTAAATTTATTTAAATATATTTAATATGAAAACAATAGCCAAAAATTAAAACAATTAATTTTTAAGAACTATAAATTGAATCAATAATTTTTTGTTCAAATCAATTCAATATTTTTTAAAAAAAATTTCAATTCGAATTAAATTTTAAAAATTTATAATATTATTATTCTAATAGAAACAACTAAAACAAATCCTCTGTCATCACCTCAAATTTATAAATATAAATTGTTTAGGTAATAAAGTAAGATTTGGGCTTGAGTTGAGACTAAATTCAAAGCCAACAACATATATTGTTGCCTTAATCTATGAACATACATACATGATTCATATATGTATACAGTAGCACTTAAATTGAATGTAATATATACATATATATATATATATTATAACATGTACAATGGTGTAACTAAATCACACCTCATATAATAATAATAATAATAATAATAATAATAATATCTTTTTTAATTATTTTTTTTGGATACAATAACTTTCTTATTCCTTCCAAAATGACTTGGTGTTCAGTTGAAAACCCTAGTTTTAGGTTAAATTCAACTCATTCTAGGTTTGAAACTAAAATTCCAACCCAACTCCAATTAGGAAAACAAAGTGGATGTACCAAACTTAGCTTGGAATTGAAAAAAGAAAAAGATAATGTCATCCACTTCCTTTGGACGCAAATGCTTCATTATGATCAGACACTGGTAATGTAAAAGAGATAAAGCATACAAATCAAACCACATCTTAAGTCTGGGGGGAGGGTGGGAGAATTTATACACGCTGGGTTGGCATCCAATCTCACATCATCGGGAAGGTTTGAATGATGCTTCCGCCACCTCCGTAGTTCATCCCCTCCCTTCCCTCCCCACGCTTTGTAGAATACGATATACAAGATTTAGGACAAAAAAAACAAATTAGGCAGCCGCAGCCAGACAAATTGTTGGCTATGCCTATCTTATTGGAGTGGCTTCGTGACTTTATCCTGCAACAGCCTTCTCTCGGATATAAGAACAATCAAAAGAATATTTGCAAGATTTCATGTCAATCAAACTCAAAAATGCAAGGAAGTTGGTGTATTTTTTTTTTATTCCGAAAAAGATGGTTCCATACAAGCCAATTCCTCCTAGAAACAATAATCAGATAGTTTTAACCTTTGATTACCAAAACTAACTCCAAGTTGCCCTCTCCATATGTGATTACATGGATGCCTGCCAAGCTAAACAACGAAAGACAAACAACTACAAGCTCCTATATTCTTTTTCTTTTTTTTTTAATGAGATGTTGGGAAGGAGAAAAACAAAGATTAGATCAAGGCAATTTCGATCAATGTATTGTTAGGAATAACCTCAATAATCCATGCCACCCATACCGCCAGGCATTGCTGGAACATCCTTCTCATCCTTGGGAAGTTCAACTACAACAGCTTCAGTTGTTGTCATCAACGATGACACACTGTATCAGAAAGGAAACATACTCAACTTGGCAGTTTTAGAAATTATAAAGGCAATACCAAGCACTAATGCATTAACTTAGAAAGAGATTTAAGGCTTACCTTGCAGCATCAACCAAAGCAGTTCTAATTACTTTTAATGGGTCAATAATACCAGCCTTTACCATATCCACATATTCACCTGCTTATTGAACAAAAAGAAGTATACGCTGCATTAGTTTCATTAGAATGGCATAAAAAAAGAAGCAATTCTAATTGCATTAGAAAGCTGCAATGAAAGAAACTTCAAAGTCATTCACTGACCTTTTGCAGCATCATACCCAAGATCTGCGTTATCCTGCTCCAACAGCTTACCAACAACAACAGCTCCCTCAACTCCTGCATTCGAAGCAATTGTGTACACAGGTGTCTGCAACAGAGAAATTCATCTATAAGGGAGAGTGAAAACTTCACAAATCAATATTACCAGCATTTTGAAACTTTAAAGTGAAAAGCTGTCCAAACTTTTTAACAGTACATCTAAAAAAGTATTTAAGAGAAGATTTTTCCTAAGTTGATCCATCAATATGTGCAGAAAAGATTAACAAACCTTTAGAGCATTCTGTATAATTTGAACACCAATCTTCTGGTCAAAGTTGGCTGTAGGTAACTTGTCCAACTCTTTTGATGCATACAGAAGAGCAACACCACCACCTGGATAGGAGAACTCCTTAAGTAATGTTTCCACTAATTCCCATTTCCAAGTTTAATAGAAACCTCATGAAAAGACCACAAGACTTAAAAGTTCTTACCAGGCACAATACCCTCTTCTACAGCTGCCTTTGTGGCATTTAATGCATCTGTAACTCTATCCTTCTTCTCACTAACTTCAGCTTCACTAGCTCCTCCGATCTGCAATGTCCAGCAAATTCTAAGCCTCACTAAGTCCATTCAAGCAGCAACAAATGGAAAGAAAACAGCTACTGCATTTCTAAGTTGAAAAGTTAAACGCCATTAACTATAAGGTAATATACCTTCAAAACAGCAACACCACCAGAAAGCTTTGCCAATCTTTCTTGCAACTTCTCCTTATCATAATCAGAGGTGCTCAATTCAATTGCTGACCTAATCTGTTGTTATGGAGGACATGTGTTATGATATGAATCATTAAGGAAATTATGTCGAGTTCAAGAATCAAAAGATGGCTAAACAATTGTTCATAAAAAGCAACAACACCTGTTCACATCTTTCTTCAATGGCTTTCTTGTCACCATCCCCATCAAGAATAACAGTGTCATCCTTTGAGACAGTAACCTATAACAGCCAAAAGAAAAAGAATCATGCATCATCAAAATAGATTCTATAAATATAAAAGGGGTTAAATTGTTCCGTCTTACCAACCCTCCAAGTTATAGGAAATTGATAAAAAATCACATCAAGCAAAGAATTTCATGTCCAAACAATAGATATCATACCTTTTTGCAAGTGCCAAGAATGTCCAAATCCACCTTTTCAAGGTTCATGCCAAGTTCTTCAGTTATAACCTACAATATAGAAGTAACGGACCATTCATCAAGAGGTCAGGCAATTTCATGTCAATCGAACTAAATGCTATGAACAAAACAATCGCTCATGTAGCAGAAAGTTGCCTCACCTCTCCTCCTGTGAGGACAGCAAGATCATGCAGACTAGCCTTCCTGTTTTCTCCAAACCCAGGGGCTTTGATGGCACAGACCTGTACCATACATGATCATACAAGATTAGCAAGCATTCTTAAAAATGAGACAGGCAATAACACAGAAAAAGGGCAAAGAAATTCATTTCAGAAGGTGAACATCAAACCTTGATTCCAGCACGAAGCTTGTTAAGAATGAGTGTTGCAAGTGCTTCACTCTCTACATCTTCAGCAACAATCAACAAGGGCCTTTGTCTCTGAAATAAATATAGCAAATAGGACTTATTAATCTTACAAATCAAATATATAAGAAGCTAAGGAAAGTTTCAGTGAGAAAAACAAGTAGATCTCAATGGATGATGATTAACCGAAATGTAGAAAGCAATAATGGTCTGAATGCATTCATTGACCAAAATTTTCTTACCTTTAAAGCTAGCTCTAGTACTTTCACCACAGCATTTATGCTAGATATTTTCTTCTCATGTATTAGGATAAGAGGATCATCCAATTCCTGCCAAAATACAATGAATTGAATTAGCATCATCTCATGGTCAAGGCTCAAGAGATATGCCAGTAGTTCAGTTAAAAGAAAAACGCGTTACTTACACATTTTTGGTTTTTCGTATTGGTGATGAAATATGGGGATATGTATCCCCTGTCAAGCTTCATGCCCTCAACAACCTCCAATTCATTAAACAATGTTTTCCCATCCTGCAAAGTTCAACCCACAGTAAGCAATCATATCATGTGTAAAAATATGCAAGAGATTTAATATATGACAAGCATAAGCAATCGGAACTTAAAATTAGAAGAAAAAAGGATATGAACAAGTAAAAATACCATGAAGGCATCAAAACTTACCTGAA